ATATATATACACAGCAAAAGAGTCAAACACATAAGCAAGTAATAATCCCTTCAGTACTAAAACAATCTTTCTCATTTCTCTTTTAACAGGAACAGATATTTTATTCTTCTTCCTCTCTATTCTTTTCCACGATCTGTGTCCTTCCTTTCATATCACTTTTGTTTTTTACACCTCCCCACTTCTACATTTCGGTGTATGAAGTATAATGGCTGGGCGCTCCGCTGTCACACACAGAAGACCAGAGTTCGATTCCCGTGATGGTGAATTTTTACCGAGTATCTCCGTCTTTCTGCTGCGAAGTCGTATTCCTCTCAACCCAGGATGACTATGACAGGCAGGGTCGAACGAAGCCCTTCTCCTAATTGATCTAACTTGTGTCAGTGCGGGCGTAAAACACCTTCCTTAAAATAAAAATCCCTTCTGGAGTTTTATAACTCTTTCCGCACCCAACGTACTCGATGCCCGTGGGTCTATATAGATATATCATCAGTGGCTCCCACTCCTCCTAATCCTCGTCTACTTTTAATTGCCATACCTCTTCGAACTTTCTCTTTTTTTCTCTGTATATGTATTACCTGTATTACCTGTCCTGGGCAACAACGTCATTGCACACCGGACAGGTCCATAAGTGCTCAGTTCCCCCCAGCACCAAAGCCCGCAAGGTATCCATACTGATTGTTCCGGTGGCTGTCTGATTACTTTTTTCCTCTTCAGCTATGAAAACCTCAATTCCCTATAAATCAAGCTTATTCAATCCACACAGACATAAACATACTTTAACAAACAAACACATACGTACACAAATTGAAGTGCACATACGCGCGCGCACACACACACACACACACACACACACACACACACACACACACACACACACAAACATCACTTAATTCCCGTCGTTATTTTTACAATCCAGTTCTTGTCTTCGAAATGAAGAACATGAAATTCGCTGTCCAAATCGTTGACAGATGATTTGGCAAAGACGTAAATACGATAAATGTCAATAAGAACCCCTTTTCGGACCTAACTCAATAAACTACTGCGCACATCCAGGGTCTCCACTCTCTTTGAGGCCATATTTGAGTCGCCTTGACGTCGTGCGCTAAGAAAATTCTTTAACTATTTTAAGAACAGGAGATTTTTTGCCCGGGGAGGCTACGAAATTTACTTTTACCCATAATAACGTTCTTTACTGTTAAAAGAAGCCAATAGACTCGGCACTGTCCATGTAAATTGTGCGTGCAAGTGTTTAGATAATAACAATCCTGGAAATGGGTTTATCTTACCCAGCAGGAAATTGTTTGTGATAAGTAAATTCACTCAATTTTGTCTGTTGGTGTTTTCCAGTGTCAGAACAGTTGTTGTATCCACTACCGGTTTCGGCCTGAAAGGCTATGACGGAATCTAATACCAACTTTCGTCGAATCTATGTTTATTGATATGGTTTAACACGTTTAAGGACGCCAAGGTTTTTCTTCACAAAGAGGCAAAAGCCACTAAGTTGGCACAATTTGACAAAATCTTCCATAATTAGAGATGTTTGATTTATTTGGTCACGATTAGACAGACTTGATGAAAAGCACCCACCATAATGCTAGTAAGCGAATCTCAGATCTTTCGATTGAACATAATATTATGTGAGGCAGCGTGGTGAAATCAGGCACTCGTCAAAATAATGAAAATCCGGAAACTGGCATTTTTCCTCTGTTTTTGAAATTTTTATCGAATGTCTGTTTTTTGCCTCAACCCCTCTCATGTCCATTAAAGAACACATTTGTTTGTGGATTTTATTGAAAAACGCTGATTTAAGGCATACAATATGTAAATTTTCAGTTTCCACGGACTCTCAAACTAAGGAAATAACTCACCTTTGGCGGCCATTTTCTTTATAATTTTAACTCTAAAACCACGCAACCCCATCTCCTTCAATCTCCAATGTCTTGACTTGTATCCAAATTAATGGATACTTTTTTCACCAGAAGCAAGGTAAAATACACATGCTTTAAGATGGTACCAGTAACTCCATTGCCCCAAAATTTGAGGAGCGCCTGATTCCACCGCGTCGTGAGACATTATGTAATCATTGGAATGTGACAGGCCCCGATGAAGCAGAGCAGAGGTTATTTGATCGCTTTTAAGGACACACGGGCTAATCCAGATTTCGGGGGTTTCCAGAAATCTTGAACTACACCAAATGTGGGAATTACCCAACCTATAGGAGAAGTTTTCTTTCTTTGGAGTGTATATTTATTTGGTTATAGAAAGAACTCTCCTTGTCTTTTAAAGAGACTGAATAAGGATCCAAAAACTTTACCTTCGATTTTCTCAAAACAGCATTTTTCGGGATAGCCCTCTTGTGCTTAAAAGCGACCATTTGACCCAGCGTACAATGGCTAGCACTAAAGCTTGACCCGCCCAGGTCCGATCTGATCATGCACTTGGCCAATAGGCATAAGTTCTAATACAACAAGGTTGTTGTTCGATTCCGTCACAGGGCTGGGGTTGAAGGGCCGGATTATTCAGGTGAAACTGTTCTGCTCCTATGCTATGTACTCAGCTAGCCTTCTGCCTCCAAAACCAACTTAATTTTTTTTTTTTACAATAGGCCTATACATAATGAAGCGCACAGAGCTTGCTGTTGAGCAGGAACTTGTGCTATACAAATGCTATTTACTCCTCCTCCTCCTCCTCTTCTTCCTCCTCCTCCTCTTCCTATTATTATATTATTATTATTATTATTATTATTATCATTATTATTATCATTATTATTATTATTATTACTATTATTATTATTATTATTATTATTATTATTATTATTATTATTATTATTATTATTATTATTATTATTATTATTATTTCATGTACATCTATTGTACATTTGGTAACTTGGAAACACATGCGTCATTTCCCCCATAAAACTACGACAGCTGCAGAGTTGAAAATTGGCAAGTACCTGCAAAAAGATAGATAGGTCCCCATAAAGGAGCTCGATTTTTGATTTATTCATTTCCTGAATTTAGAAAAATATATTTGACAAAAAGTTGCTGTCCTTTGACCTTTGTGATAATTCCACTGAGAAACGAAACACAGCGTAGCTGTCCTTCACAGGGGAAGTGCCGGAAGTGATATTTCGCGAGGCTCATTTTGTTTTGAGAGTTTTTATCTAGACTTTCTAATTTTTTGCATCTCTCAAGATTTATTGCTCCATTCCAGTAGAGTGTAAATATAGTAGGTCAATGACTTTCGGTTGATTTTAATGCACCGATGATTTCTTTAATCGAAAGGGGGCCCAGCTGATGGTTAAATATCTTTGGTCTTTGAAACATTCACGTTTTCCCATTTTGCTACTTCCTTCTCTAACTGTAAAAGTGCCTGTGCGAATGTTGTTTATGTTTTTGTCAGTTGATACCAAAGCCTCTTTGACATAAACAACACCGAAACCAGGAACTTTACTACCCCCTCTTCCTCTTCTTTAAGGGAGAGGGAGGGGGTGGGGTGGGGGGTGGGTCAGTAAACGAAGTCAGAATACTACCAATTTGTTCAGCTAAAACAACAAAATCACGAATTTGAACATCACCATCAAGTGCCAGATCTGTGACAGACATTGACAATCATGGTTCCCCTAATGAAAAAAAAAAAAAGCTACATTACCCTGATTTCCCCCCATCACCCATCTGTTTAGGTTCTCCAAGTACCTTGTTCTGGGTCTACCCGTGCCTCATTTTTGCCAGTGAGAGCTTGATGTTCAAGACCTTTATGTCTATTTAGATGCCCCCAAAACTGTATTTTTCTTTTCCTGATTGTTTTTATCAGCGACTGACCCACGTACATTTACTTCCTCATTTGATTTCTTTTCCTTCCAATATAATATTCCCAGCAGTCTCCAACGAAATCACATTTCTGTTGCTTCTATTTTATTTTCATTGTCTTTAGTGATTGTTCAGCATTCATAGTCATATAGAATTTGAACATACTACAAAATATATTTTTTTCCATCTCTGCTGGACGCCGTTTCTTTGTATTTGTCAAACCGACATAATTAAAAATTCAGTTTCTTATCTTTTCTAGCGTCACACCTAACACAATTACAATCATAATTCAATATTTAACAGCTTTGGGTACACTCATTATCGTTAAGCGCATTAACAAAATCCACATTTTAAAACATTTACAGCTACAAGTAAATTGGTTTTAGAAGTTCATAAAAGATAACAGGAGTGAATTTGGAGTGGCTGTTTAAAATTTAGATTCTCATCGTTGGCAGATTTCCAACATTACAAAAAAAGTGTGTACATATTAAACATATGGGCGCGGACGAACAGCAAGGTTATAAAACCAAACACACAGATAAACAGGCCCACACATTAGCACTCATAGACATGAATGGATATGCACATATACACAATAACATAAGATATATACACTCAACATGAGCACGCACGCACGCACGCACACACACACAAACACACACACATGAAAGACGTACTCAGAAACAGACAGAGACACACCATCCCACAATAAACACAACCAAACACACACACACACACACACACACACACACACACCCCACACACCCCCACACACATAAACACACACACACATCCACACACACATCCACACACACCCA